CTAAAGTCCCAGAGCACTTTAGCTTCTTCATTTTCTATTACTTTTCTGTTTTGTGGTCCCACCAGTTCTTGCTTGTAGGCAAATGGTATTTCTTGCACATATTCCAATGCACTATTGTTGCTACTTTGTCATGCTGTTGACTGTAGTCAGTCTGTGCGATCTTGCAGCAAACTAGGCGGTCCACTGTTTCTTCAGCTTCTTTGCAGAGACGGCATTTGCTGTCTTTTGCTGTCTTCTCAATTCTGGCTTTATATGCATTTGTCCTTAAGGCTTGGTCTTGTGCAGCCAGAATTAGCCCCTCTGTCACTTTCTTCAACTTTCCTGCTCTTAGCCATTGCCAGGTCTTCTTGTTATCTGCTTTGCCTCTGGCTTTATATGCATTTGTCCTTAAGGCTTGGTCTTGTGCAGCCAGAATTAGCCCCTCTGTCACTTTCTTCAACTTTCCTGCTCTTAGCCATTGCCAGGTCTTCTTGTTATCTGCTTTGCCTCCTAGATTTTTTGCATAATGGCCATGTAATACGTTGTTGTTGTTGTTGTTGTTGTTGTTAGGCTGACTGTATTAATTCTGATTATGTGACTACTGCCTTCCTTTATTCCTTTGCCCCAGTAAGCTCCTTTTAATATCTAGAGATTTGGTTTCATTAGTTTTCTAAGAGAATTTCTCATTAAATTTCCCACATATAAGACTGCACAATTACTTAGCTACACTTTATGTTTCAGGATTGATCCAAGGTCTTTTAAGTTCTCTATTTCTGGTCTTTGGACAGAAAGACCCAAAGCACCTTTTTTTCTTCTTTTTATTGTGTTGTGATAAATCTTGGTATATTGTATTGTTTCAATACAGTGGTGTTTATGTAACTGAGGATTACTGACATTCTATTATTTAGATAGCTTAGAGTATTGAAAATAGAGAAAAGAAAAAAAAGTATTCTATCAATATAGAATTACAATTTAGGATGTCAATATTACAAGCATAAAATTATTTGGCTTTTTCATCCAAAAGTTGAGTATAACATTGAAAAACAACTGCTGCAACTCACATCAAAGCATTTAGCCCACGATGAAGATTTTGATCTTAAGCTTATTATCAGGTATTAAGTCTCCATTGTATTGTTACTCTGTGTGTGTGTGTGTGTGTGTGTGTGTACACACGCAGACACAAACACATGTTAATGAATGGAAAAAATAGATAAATGGAGCAAATTTAACAAGAATTAAAATATCAAAAAGTAGGAAAACAAAACAGGAAAATAAAAAGTACTACTGGGTTTCTGACTTCCCCCTTTTTATACATCTGCTAAGTTGCAATATTTATAGACATTTAGGCCCCCTTAAAATTGTTGAAATTGTGTTTCCAGTACTGTGCACAGTTTCTTGCTGCTGTAAGCATATATCTCATTAAATTATGATGTTTCTTGCTGATTTTTTCTGAGATTATACCTAGTAAGAAAAGTTGTGGTTTCATTTCAAATTTAAATTCCAAGATTTTCTGTATTATAATACAGTATGTATGTCTTTCTAGTACTTTTGAGTTTTTTTAATTTTGAGTTTTTTTTACATTTCCACTACATGTGATAAAATGTTCTGGTTCATGACATTTCCAACATTTCTTTGTTTATTTTAGATATAATTGATGGTGTTGTATACCATCTATAAAACATTTTGTACCAATTTTCCTTTAGGTTATAATTTGCTGTAAATTTCATAGGTTTAGTCCATAATTCTTCCCACTGTTGTGTTTATTTAAAGTTTTGCATCCATTCTATCATATATTTTGTTTGTTCTTTCTTTCTATTTTTCTACTGCAGGGCTGAAGAGACAATATCTCATTAGAAGGACTAGGGGACATACTTGAGCAGGGATCTCCAAACTCTTCAGCTCACTGAAGTTTTAGATTGTTCATAGACCCCCAAACATTTATTATATGAAAAATAATTTAATAAATACTATTTTAACTAATAATATTACGAATAATAATAATTTCGACCCCTTGGATAGTCCCACTGACCCTTAGGGGTTGATACTGACCACTTTGGAGACCCCTGAACTAGAGGGTTATCAGCTTGACTGGTGGTCACCTTTAATAATTACTAGGAATCCCTTGGAAGGAAATGCCTGCCTGTGAGGGTTTAAATTATACATCCTTTCAGTTTGTAATAGGGGAAGTAGAAAATTATGCCACAGCCTTTCAGTATAAAGAGTTTTGCACAGCACACATTCACTTAACTGTCTCTCTAACCCACAATAAACAGA